TTTTAATGTATAATAATTTTTTTTTCTTTCTCATGGTTTAAACACAAACTATCATTTATTTGAAAAAAAATTCTCACCCCATTTTTTTTTTTTAAAGATGACCGGTAAGGGGATCTTAACCCTTAACTTGGTGTTGTCAGCTCCATGTTCTCCCAAGTGAGCCACGGGACAGTCCTCTGTCACCCTAATTTTAAAAGCTACCTTGTACGTTCAATAATTCTGTTTCTCAGCTCACTCTAGTGCATTTTGATGTGCCAATAATATGCTGTTTAACTTGTCATTTTATAAAACATACTAATATCTAATTAAACAATCTATGCTTATTTCTTTTCTTATTCAAATGTTTACTACAGAGACAAAGAAAGTAGATCAGTGCATGCCTGCGCAGGGGTTAAGAATGAGATTAAGAGTAAATGAGAGAGAGACAGAGACAGAGACAGAGAAACAGAGAGAACACAGAATAAATAGTGTTGAAACAGATATTGGACTTTTTAAAAATGTTTTTGCCTGGTGACCTCACACAACAGAACTGCCTGGCCTACTGTGCAATGTACAATACTTGACTTTATCTCAGATCTCACTAATCAAAGTCTCTGTGGATGGGTCCAGAATTTTACATTTTAAACAAATTGACATAATGATTCTTAGCCCACTAAAGTTTAACAAGCAATTTCTTAATATACATAAAAATGTAGTTTTTGACAAAGAAAACATCCTAAAACAGTGGGGAAATTGTTATGCTTTTTAATAAATGTTTTTGGAAAAATTCTGAGACGAGTTGCTGCCACCTTTTGGCTGTGGTGAAGAATGCTACTAAACCATGGGCGCGCAAGTACCCACCGAAGTCCATACTTTTCCCATGGGCGCACAAGTACCCACCGAAGTCCATACTTTTCCTGTCTGCTTTTACCCTTGCTTGGGAGGGTCATGGCAGCTTAGAAGACTGGGAAGGGCCTGCTAGAGCCTGTCTATCCAGAGCCTCTGCTCTTAAAACGTTAAGTCCTGAGCCTCTGGTCAGGCCTCGATATCTACACACACACACACACACACACACACACACACACACACACACACGAGGAGTCCACAGTAAAAAAAGATTGGGAGGCATCATGGACTCTTTAAGTAGACCTATATATATTTCGGATGGATAATTAAGTGGTATTTTAATAGCAAATCCATTTTTGAAAAGAGAAAGCAGGATTTTTCTGAACAGATCTTACAGTGAGGCACAAGTGGGCAATGGTAATAGAGTAACTATGTAGCCTCAATCAAAAAAACCTAAAGTTGTACCTTCCAAATTGGCGATAAGTATAATGCCTTACAAACTCAATGCTGGTGACAGTGTCAGGAGGTGGCCAATCATGCATTTCTAATAAGAAAGAAATTATTATAATTTTTTTGTGAAAAATTTGGGAAATATAAAAAAAGTTTAAAAGCTGACATTTCTCCCAATATTTTAAGTTAGAATTTTAAGCTGCAGTAATTTCATGGAAAGATGGACAGCAAGTTTTACTTGAGACAAAAACTTGAAATTTGAAAATATAAATATTGAAAAATATGGGAAAGTTTGAACTGAGTCCAATATGTTCATGACCATGACAATAAACATGCCAGTAATAGCCACCTTAA